AGGGGGCTTAATTGCCTACAACAAACACTAATCTGCTAATGTAGTGCCATTTAGTTGGGCAACCAGAATGCTTGCCCCAGTTCTATTATGGGTGAAAATTACTTTTAACGATATTGTATGAGCGTTTATAAAATAAGAAAGCAATGGTTAAAATGTCATCCATATATACATCAATTTCTCTCTTGACGCCAAGGTGCAAAATTTTCGCGTTGTGATGTTTGGGGGACTTAATAGGACCTTTTGATAGTTTTATAAAATAACTAATCCTTTTGAAAAAGTTCAAGGATCTTCAGGATAATTTATCACAAAAGAATTAGTTAGTTACTCTTTTTTCCCCCTCTAAGGTTTAAAAAATGGATAGACATTTAAAGTGAATGAATACCAACATCATGCAAATGAGGTTAGTCAAGAAGTAGCCTTTGTTCATCTATAACTCTCAATGTTCTTGGATCATAATTTATTTATTTTTTTATCATTCAGTTTATACCTTTTGATTAATTTAATTTCAGTTTTTTATATTCTAAAAATCATAACTAGCAAATAAACTCGGATTCGAGTCAACCCATTCACATTAGGCACTCTTAACACAACTGAACTGACAATTCCGACTGTATCCATATGGGACACATTAAGGTTGATTACAGCAAAATCGGGGACTTTCAATCAACCTTTTCCAAGCAGCTTGTTCCATTTAAGGCTATAGGGAGTTGCTTTCAATCATCATTTTGTCATGCTCCCCGTCCAATGCAACCGCTGAAATGAGAATATATATATATATATATATATATATATATATATATATATATAATCGATGTAGCAATGACACCGTGTCAAATAATGCGGCAAGTATCAATTATGTAGAAAGTGTTTAAGAATTAAAACATGGAGATGATCATGCTTTAATCTTTTTTTACTGATTAAATTGGCTTTACTAAGAAACAGGATACATAGAGATGCAAAAGTGGTACACATGACATTGATACACAACTGAATCTGCATTAATTTTGATGTGATTCTCCTAATAAGGTGTTCTAAATTATACACTGGCGTATTATAACTTTGATTATTTAATATACGTAGTTAATAGCTGCCTACGCCTCAAAACTAAAATCCGTTTTTAAAAAATAGAATTGAAATATTAGAATCCGATTAACTCAATATTTCAGATAACATTATTAATAACACTCCATCTTCTCTGTAATTCTCATGGAACCACATGAAGAAAAACACTGCAACAACATTATCTATATTAAAGTGCAAAACATATTTATCCTCACGGAAGACATACACTTGTGATTTGACTTGCCATTTACGAATATACTCTGCCAATTTGCCAGCAATTTCAAGTAGCCAATTCGTACTTCCATTACTGCGGAAGTCATCAATTTGAATACCAACACTGTAATGGTGTTGCTTTGATCACTAGAAATTAGATAAGACATAAAAAAAAAAAAAAACTTGTTTCACCTTGTTAAAGGTGCATTATTGGGAATATAGTGCCAAATCTAGTCTCCCCACAACATAATTTTCTCAATGCTTGGCTGTTCGTTAGGCACTTGAACTTCCAGTCTTAAGTAAAGATGTCTTTTGAGTACATCCATTCTTTTGTTTTCTTGTCTGTTTGATCTTCGTTGTTCTTCTGATTGAAATGTATATGCTAAAGGTGCAAAGCGTCACCTGACTTTCCAAAACTGGTCAAACGCTTCCTTTTGTTTGTCTCTGTGGGCTGTGTGTGTATGTGTTTTTTTTTTTTTCCTTTTTTGTCGTGTTTATATCACATATGCAGTGGAAAGAACTGTGATAATCTGTAAAACTACTATTCTCGACCTAACTTCTTGGTATCTGTCTCATTCTTCATCAGAGCCTAAGATATTGTTTAATCCAAATTCAGTATTTTTCTTTGGCTACCATGTCTGGTTCTGAAAACTTGCAATTTATTTTTCTCACGCAGGGAAATAATGGTAGTAATCTTCAAGTTTCCTACACGATTGGCAAGCTGGTAGCGTGGCAAGGTAAAAACCAATGCTTTTTCTTCGAAAATACAACTATGGAGTGTATCCCGTGTTTCTGGAGCAAAAGAACAGAATCTAAGCAATGTATTTGACTTGCAATTTGAATACTACAGCTAGTATACCTGATTTAATGTTTTCAATTTTTGCAAGCAACAATACGTTACCCAATAACGTCAAGAGCGATCATCCTGCAGTCTAGTGGTGGGCAAATCAAAGATTATATATTTTTTAACATAGAAAATTCACAATCATTTAATGCTTCCTTCTTCATTAAATGGACGCCCACCGTTCCTTTACTCCAAGAGTGTGCCCTGATCACTTGTATACTTCACAGTTTACTTGTAAAACAAGTATCGGCTCTAATTTTTAAACAGTCCCCTAGGCTTTGCTTAAGAGCTATCAAATCCAATTTACTAGAATTTAAGTCGCTTCATATGTCGAATATATACACCAAGATTTTTGTTTAGCATTTTAAAGCTTTGGGTTTCAACATTTTGCACTTTCTACCTAAGTATTTGAACTAGACCCACTATAACCTAGTTACGAATCATTCATATAAAAGTAAGTGTCATACTTTTAAGATTTGTATGTATGGTGTGAGATCAGCATTGAGCAACATGGTGTTATCTCAAGTTAAAGTAGGACGAACATGGTGTTGTCTTTTTGAAGCTGAAGCCTTGCAACAGTTGTGTGCTAAGTTTTATGCTAAAGCTAGGGTAGGCAAGCTTTGATTGTCTAATTTGCCGTCAATATTGTAAATTTGTGACCAAACTTTTTTCTTGTAAGACATAAACAAAGAAATGATGTGATATTAAATCAACATCCAACTCAGGCAGCTGATCGTCACTTTAATAGTTTCCTTAGGGTAGTGCCTCTTACCTATTCATCCCACTATTATCAGGTTCTCACCTCTGATTTTTTATGCGATGAACTTTTAGCACATGAGGACGTTAAACTAGTTCAGTTTAGCTACACCACATCAATCAGACAATTTAACACGCAACAGATGCATATGTGTGTGTGTGTGTGTATATATATATATATGGGGGCCAACCCTCAATACCATCACTTCAGTTTTTGTATGGTGCTCTAAAACAATAATGTTCTTTCAAGTTCTCTTAGAAGTAGGAAAGTACTGAACCAAAGTCTTCATCATCGGTCTTTCACGGTCGTCCGTTATATAGTGCAGTTCATGTTAGAGCTTCTTGTCTTGTCTTCTTTAGCAAGCTGTGTTGTAATTCCTCGTGAGCCAAGATTCTTGATTGTATATAAAGCTAAAGCTGCCACGACGTTTTGAGTTAGACAGCCTCCTAGCAGAATTTACTCTCCGTAGTTTCTCATAAAATTTAAGGAAAATTTTGTGATGATTATTTGCCCTCCCTCTATCAATGATTGAGTTTTTTTTTTTTTTTTTTTCCATCTTTACTCATTTTTAGTACTGCTCATTATGCAAATTTTCGACGTCAACTAGTAATCTGTCCTCAAAAAAAATATTTTCTCCTATTTGGAAAAATTAAATACTTCCTGAAAAGTGGTCTGTCGAACGTGGAAGCGGCTAGAAGTCATTTATGGGATTACAAGCACATCAATAATATAAAGACACCAAGAAAGAAGGTAACACCGTTGAAAAATGTAATGGTGGACCAGTACCATCTTTCCCTATTCCTAATCTTTTTATATATATCCGATCCCCAACAGAAGGAGAAACCAAATAAACGAAAAAACAAAAAAAAAAAGGAGAAAGAAACTCTAACTTAATGTGCTTGTGTTTGGTTGTGAGGAAATTAAAGGAGATTCCTTTTCTAGTATGCCTGAAATTTCTCACACTTTCCTTTCCTGGAATTTTGAGCTCAGCAAAATTTGCCGGACTCTGACCAAAACTTAGCTACGTACACAAGTTTGATGACTGCTTAATAGTTACTACCATTTTTCCTTTAGTGTTTTTGTAGTCAATTAAGCATGCAAATGCAAGAAACGATAAAGTCTTAAAAGATTGTGATGAAGAACTAATTCATGGTTGTCTAAAAAATGAAGCAATTGGCACATCAAGAAGTAAAGAAAGAGAAACCATGAAGAACTTGCGTCTTTCCAATCTAACACTGTCCGATCCACATCGGTTGATCGATAACCTTGACGTACTTTCTGACAATATTATGTCGTCTAATCAACGTCCAACTCAGTCAGAAGGACACTAAATGGACAGGATTTTAGCTTATCTTCGAATTTACCCAACCCAAAGTGCACACAGCAATGTGTATTGCATTAACTGAAAATAGAAGTGTTCATGGACAACAAAGACAACTTTATGCTGTCTTGTATATTTATCTCGAATAAAAGTTGAAGTGTCACGGGTTGGCTTTTCATTGTCCCGCAAAGTCGTGCGGCACTAGCAAACTCGAACACAGAAGGTAGGAGATGGAGATATACCAGTTTAGCCTTCGTGCCAAAGCGCGCCTATGATCAGACACAACCAAAAGGTTTCGAGGTAAAGAAGGAAAGTTAAGAGAACTTGGGAAGCCCTTGTATTGCAAATGGAACTCCAATCCACGAACGATTACAAATTAAATGAGAGGGGTCTTGCCCATAACCGCTACAGTAGTCTAAATAATTATCAAGTTGCTATACAAAGCCTCACCTCTAAAACCCTGTATACGACTCTAGATCCTATCCTATCGTCTATTATGTACGAACTCTAAGCATTTCCACAATGTTCATGAAGAGAAGTATCGAGGATTCCAAAATAATCTAGAAGAACCTCTGTACAACTCGAACATAGCCCTTATACTTCTATCAAAAGCTCTACACATTGGCCATAGCCTCTATGGCCTTTCATTTATTTGTTTCTCGTAGCAACAAAAATCATTACCGGTCTTGACTTTTTCTAGCATTACCATGAATGAGGTAGTGCATGTTCGTGGTGCCTTGTTAATTTGGATACTGGTGGACCGTGTCATAAGACACTTGGGATCCTCGGTTATATTTTTTTAGAGGCCAATTCCACTGCAATTGACATATATTGGGATTTTTCATCCGCAAAATTTGGTTTTGGCCCGGAACCGCTAGAGGGGTTCTATTTAGCTGTTGCATTTAACCAAGAACTTGTCCTGCTCCTCGGGGATTTGCAAAAGGATGTGTATAAGAAAATAGGTCCTAGCCCTGTTGCATCTAATGCGGTGTTTATTGCCAAAAGAGAGCGCATCTTTGGGAAGAGAGTATACACTACAAAGGCTCAATTCTGTGACCACGGGCCGATACATGACATCGAAATTGAGTGCGATACTGGGGGGATTAACGATCCATCTCTGGCCATCAGCTTGGATAGCAGAGCGGTGTTGCAGGTGAAGCGGCTCCGGTGGAAGTTCAGAGGGAACCAGACTATTTTGGTGGATGGACTGCCGGTGGAAGTGTTCTGGGATGTTCACAGTTGGTTCTTGGGAATGTTATGGACAATGCTGTTTTCCTGTTTCAAACCTGTCTCTCGGCTGAGATGCTGCGAAACAGAGGGTTTTCTTATTCTTTTTCCCCAAAGCAGCAGCTGTACAAAATTATTGATGCAGGAGTTAGACCGGCCGGGTGCCTTTTGGTTCAGAGTTTTAGAGAATAAGAAAATTTGTGTTAACTTTGAATCAATTTGAGTTGATAAAAAACTAAAGTGCTAATGACAACAAGAATTCTAGTGGTGGCATTGGATTGGCACTGAAAAAAATGTAATCGAGGATCCCAAGTGGTCATAAGAAACCTCCTGTAGGAGCTTTTGTGTCCATTTATCTAGGTATTACTATGACCAAATTTCTTGCCAAACATATGACCGATTAACACCATGATCGGAAGTGAAGTTCATGCGCAAAGTTTTCAATATGAATACAGGACCTGACAGCTTTACAATTCTTGTTACTTGATCTGTCCGTCTTACTTTTAAAACAAGAAGAGTCAAATTGCTGATGACATGTATTACCATGAATTATTGTTTGTTTTTTCTGGTTCAAGACAAGGCCCCAAGTCTTATGAGGGGGAAAGGAGAGAGGAGAGAACTTGAGAGACAGCAAAAAGACCTTTTGGTTTCTTGGCTGATATCCATACCAGCTAAGTTAGGTCCGGGGACACTTTTTGGCTCTTTGCGTCTAGTGAGATAATGATCGATGTTTGTTAAGTATTCCTCTATCCTTGAAATGTGATATATAAATTGTAATTCAAAATTTTTTCTGCTTTTTTTCTAAAAAAAAATTATATTAGAGAAGGGATGATATTTAAAAAATACAGGATAGGAAGGGAGATTTCATCTTGGCTTCCCTCATAATGCATTGCATGATACAAAAATTTTCTTAAATATTATTTTACTTATATTAGAAATATATTTTTCAATTATTGATTTCACATATGTTACATTAGTTTACGTGATCCTCTCGACCCTGGGTTGCCAAGAAATCGCAACACATTTTGGGCCCAAGGAGTTGCATGAAAGAATTCATGCCTCTGAACAACCCAGTATTCGGAGCCCGGCAAAGTTGCACTTGGGTAGTTTTCTAGCTCTTTTACATGGGGCTAGATGTCTCCATCCAGACTAAGGGATGAAGGTCCAACACCCTGCTTTGTGTACCTTTGTTGTAGTCTGTCCTAGACCTTTACAATTACTCATGTCCTACTAGACCTTTCACACTTTTAAATGTTGATCTGATTTTGGAAGAGAGCATACGATGCTAAGAATCTACAGGAATAGTTAAAGGATATTATCATAAAGAACGAATTTCTATTCTTTTTTGTTTTTCTATAACAAAAATGTAAATGTGCAAAGCTAGTTAGTTTTAACCTTTTAATTAGATTAGGGTGGCTATCAATAGTTCCAAGCAGAACGACCAAATTATGAAGAAGAAAAAAAAAATCTGGGGTACATCATCGAATGGTACTATAAAAAAAAAAAAAAAAATGCTAATGAAGTAAACTAGTTTATAAGAAGTAGAAGAGAAAACAGAAAAAGAGCCATCAACACAATGCCAAAATCGGCTACTAGTTTAACATTATAATGTAGCTTAGATTATTGTGTTTAATCAGCATAAGCAAACAGATAATGAAGCATATTACTGGTGCTTCAATTGTAGGAAGTGCTTTGGAGAATACAATCTAAAAAGACCGTATGCAGAGAGCGCTGAAATGACAGCCATTGCAAGGCATGCAGCATAACCACATATTAAAGCTCCACCAATTTGGATGCAGAACCTTGTGTATTTGTCGCATACCTTCATCCACCCAAAATTACTCTGGCCGCTTACTGCAAAAACACAGCCCTGAAGAGCTGCTGAATTTGCTGCAAATACAAGGTATGCCACTGCCTGCCAATTTGTGCATGAAAATTTCAGATCAAATAATTGGTTCTCTCGTTCGAGATTTCAATCTTTCTACAAAAATGATATGAACAGGTGGGTTGTGTCAGGTTATTATACTTTTCTACGATATTTAGCTAGCGTACATCTATCAAAATTATTGTACTTCTCGAACTATTTAGTCTATCAAAAAAGGTTGCCGGCAAGCTGTGTTCCCTCTGTTGGTTTTTTGTTTGCACAAAAACTTGCCAGTATATGCCTAACTCTAACCGCTGATAAGAATAACGAGGGAAATTAAATTACGCAAAAGATGCAATATTTCTTCCTCTCTTTTAGAGCACTTGATTTTTATTTTTAATTTTTTCAGAGTACTAGATATGAAGGTATTGTTAATAAATGGGAAAGGCTTCGAGTGGAAGCAGTACTAGGCTTAGACATTTCCCTCTCAGTACGTTCTAGTGGATGATCCCTCCGACGATTGTCAAATGCATGCACCGGAAAATGACACAAGTGGGGAAGTTAGAGGTTAGGACAGATACAACGCCATTAATTAATTCATTTCTTGATGGGGAGCCACCATCCAGCAATTATTGGAGTTGGGATTCGAGAAAAATGTTTTAATTAATGTACTCACTAAGCAGCTGTTTCATTAAATTCTGGTATGGTCACAACACTGTTGTCGATGAACCCTACGGCCAGCTTCAGTCCAGACTTAATGCGAAAAGAATCACGAGACTCTCTGATTATGTTTGGTTCAGTAGCTTTTCTACTCTGCAATGGAATTGCATCGTGATTATGTTATTCTGCGAAGAGAATCATGAGACTATGGCCATGTTTTCCAACCACTTGAGAGTAACTTTTGAGGACGAAAATTGAGAATAATTTACCCCAAAAAGATAAAAAGGAAAGTCATGTTAAAGATGGTACATAATGATTTTAATTACGTATATGTCCATCTATCTCTAAGGTGATTATTTGAAATATTATTAAGAATAATTACTGTAGTACATAATGTAATGTACGTGTGAGATAAAGAGATAATTAAAAAAATGTGTTTAAAAATTTATTTATAATTAAAAAAAAAAAATTTTTTGGACAAGTACTTCCTATCCAAACACACCTGCTTCCACACAAATCATTCTTTCACCCTCAAATTAACTTTTCAAAGCAAATTCCAAGGGCAGTTTTTGCATGTCTTACCAATATATAGAAGAGGCTGTATATCCAAATGCTTGCATTTATATTATATATATACTGAAAAATTTACCTGGTCCAATAAATAACCAAACCAAGCCAGATTTTTGCCCATTTGGGGAAAGAGACGACTTCTTAATATTTGGAGCACATTATAGGCAGCAGCAGCCGAGGCGACCCACACCAGAATGCTGAAAAACATGGATATCGACAACCTCGTCACTAAAAAATGATCATCAGCAGAGATTATAATAGCTGTTGGAAAGAAGGGGGTTGGGGAATGAAAGAACTCACGACAAAGCTTTGAGGTCCCTGAAGGAGGCCTTTCTGACCATGGAGTAGAAGAGAAGCTTAGTTTGTGAATCAAAAGCCACCAGACAAGCGGTCAGAACCAGTGAGGACGTCGCAAAGAGCCTAAGAACCAAAGTGTCCATATCTTGCTCCCTAAATATGAGCTTGGAGTTTTTTTTTTTTTTTTTGTTTCCTTATCTTACTAGGCAGCTGCTTGCGTTCTACCATTTTATAGTACTATTCTTAGCATTTTCTCTTTCTTTCTTTTCTCTCTCTCTCTCTTTTCAGGCAAATGAAATGGGAAGGAAGATCGCTCATGAAGGGAGACTTCTGGTTATTGAAAGGTACACGTGAAGATGGGGCATCCCGTATTCAAGCTATATATAGTCTAATGAGGAATCATAGAGATTGATAGCCGACTAATACCCACCTTTCATTACTGCATCTCAACCACAATTGCTGATTAAAAAAGAATATCGAATTATTTATGGGAAACTAAAATTAGCCTTGCCCGACTAAGATTAAAAAAAAAAATTATGAATCGAAGGCTCATTTAATTTGTTACGAATCTTTTGTCCAACTCTTTATCTCGCTTCCTTTTCCAATATCTTCGCAAATTCTCTTTTCATACTTTAAAAAAATTATGCAGTTTGAATTAGAACTCATAGTTTCAAATGGTAAAATGACTTGAAATTAATTTTTGCTATAGTTCTTTTACTGGACCTGATGCGGTAAACCTTGAAACGGATGTCTGGCATGCAAAATTTTACGATTGACCCCGATTTTTCCTCTCTTCAGAATCGTCACAACCTTACAATTGATCATAATCTACATGATTTATGTCGGTCTCGTGAAAGTTCAACGTTTCTTGGGTCCAATTGCAATTCTCAGAAGTATGGGAGTCAACTTGCGAACATTTACAGTTGAGCTTGGACGCCAATGTGCATGACCAGAAAAGGGGGGACAATTTATGAAAAACCGGTTTCCAAGCACAACCTCAAGTAGTCTTGATCGGTGAAAAGGATACCAAGAAACCTTTTGCTTCGACTACCGAAAATGCTCAATGCATCTCTAAAGATATAGGGTTGGAGTGAAGACGACGTCAGATAGTTAATGAATTAAAGTACCTTAATTATTTATGATATAGAAGTTAAACAAAAAGGACATTAAGCACCTGTTTTCAATCATTCTAGTTTAATCAAATCCTTCAACAATGTATAGGAGTGCGGTTTAGTGGTCCTAATCAATGAGGTTAAGTGCATGTCTTTGCCGTACAGAGGATTTCATATCAAAACAATATACTCTTGAGTTCATATTACATGTCATATTCATTGTGCATTTATGCTACAAGAACTTCGAGGACGACAACAAAATTTTAGCACGAAACACCACTTAAGAAAGAGATTAACTAGAAAGCAAAATTCGGAGATGGAAACGAGTATCAGAATGGACATATTCTTTCCTTTCAAGAGATGGCCCTGCACTCTGGTGGAAATCCCTGTGGAAAACGCTTTGCGTCAGTGCAATAATTGTAGATCATGTAATTCTTTTCCACCCACCTTAACCTCCTTTCACCGAGTGGATCCAGCTGCTCTGACAATCACGGACTATAATTTGGCATTGATGAAACGCAAGAAGGTTTTGCAGAAGCCAGACTGCAAGCACTTGAACTAAAACCTCTGTAGGAAGCCATAAATGGTGCTTGAGTCCAGTCAATCTTCACCAGGCCCCCTCTTGTGGCCCACTCATCTGCGTTCCATAAACTTGAATATAGCCTCATTGGCTGGGTTTTCGGAAATGCAACACCTATGGATTCCAAGTTCTTGAAAACCCTGATGGGAATTGTATCCACAGAGAAGCTACGACAGAGGCATTGATTTCAATCATATAGCATTACTTAATCAATTCAGAATTATTAAGTACGTTTTCTTGGATTAAATTAAAGACATATTACAGTACTTACACAACAGCTGATGGATTCCAGTGGACTGAATAAGTGTGGAAATCAGCAGTTGGTTCAAACCATAAGTAGAACTGCTGTTCTCTTTCGCCTTTGCCCTGAGTGTACACATTGGTATGAAGTATATAAGGTTGACCGCTCAAATTTCCCAGAAACTCAAAGTCTATTTCATCGTGGATCGGTCCAATTGATGACAACTGCCAAAACATTAACACGAATTAAAGAATATGCTAAACTTTGCTGACGAATAATTTGGCTCACTCAAATATATATCAATTGGTCTTAAGCTTACGTAGTAAGCAGTGACAGTGCCAGCAGAATTTCCAGGGACTAATTTGAGCTGCATATCAATTTTCCCGAATAAATACTCTTTCTTGGATTGGAACCCTGAGCCAGAAATGTTATCCAAGGATAAAGTAAGAAGCTCCCCATTGTCGAGTATCTTTCCCCTGGAACCTCCCCAGGTTATGTCAAAATCTTGATAGAAATTATTAGCAGAAGCCACCATTGAAGAAGTGACTATTGATAAAGATATCACCAGAAGAAATGGAACGTTAATCAAAGAAAGTGAAGCCATTGATTAACACTTCGTTCAACCGAAACAAGTACAGTGACTGTATTAGCGTTCAGAAGGGAAAATAAAGTCCTGTTACTGATGGTTTAATTGCACAGAGGTTCCAATTTATAGAGAATTGAACGGTAGCATCGGGAAAAAAGGTAGCTCTGAAACTCTGGGAAAAAGTCACTTAGAAATGGGAGTATAACACACTATTTGTAAGTTGTGAACAGCTGTGGAGGTAAGCATAACGCATAAATTTTTATTATTATTATTTTTTTTGATCCCCAGTGTGGATGGTCATCAAAGCTGTAAGCTGTTGTCGACTCATAAGACTACTAGTAGGAGAATTATCTAAAGAGAGAGTGTCTCGATATTGGAGATTGTTTCTTTCTGCCGACTCTGCTTCTTCTCTGAAGCTCTGAAGTCATGCATGCAGAAGTTGAGGAGTACGTGTCATGTCTTTGTGAGCTGCTCTGTTTTGTGTTGCAGATACACTTTTTTTTTACAGTATAAAAAGACAGATCAGGTCCATACTCCATCTAGAGCTTTGGGTTGGAGAATCATCAACCGAAAATTAAACAAAGAAATCAGACAGAGTAAATATTGGAAATGACAATTGAATGGACATCATTTTGGACTAAACTACGCGAGTTCAATTATATACATAGCTTGGAGGTCTGGTAATTACAATGTGGCGTATGCTTCATGCCTGGTTTTGTGTCATGGTTGGAGTTTAATTTGAGCATTTTGGGTTTCATTTTCATTTTCTTCTTTCTCGAAATCGGTTGTTTTCTTTTTAGTTCTTGTGAACTAGAATGCGAGTTATCCTTTTGAACAAAAGTACAATGAAGCGGGGGCAGTTGGCATTTTCTCGGCTCGCACCAGTTCAACTCATCTTCAATCTGCAATGGGGACACGTCACTTGCCCAGTGGAATTCACATCACTTGCCCAGTGGCAGTATCATCATTACTGTTACGCGTTGAAATCTTTACGAACTTCATTGTTTTTGACCCTTTTTCAAATCGATCATATGGACCAGAGATTTCTTTTTCAATAAGGGGGACTCTGATTTCCGAATCAAGGAAGAAGGGAGACCTCTGTTTAGCTGATACATTTCCTACATACTGCATGCTACTGTTACCATACTGGGTTTTTATTTCAGTTGTGATTCTCCAATTTAAAAAGTAATAATCAATTACTTCCGTTTTATTTCACAAATTCATATTCACAAGTATTTAACTCCACGGTACATTTTGACAAAAAGTGTAGTATACTAAATGTCGATAAATGTACCAAAACTAAAGAATCAATTCGGGGCGGGGGTTATTAACTATGGGAGAAGTAACAGTCACAATTCTTTAGGCTGTGGAGTTGTTGGCGGTGCATTCTGGAGGGAAGCCCTGAGGAAAACGCTTGGCATCTGTACAATAATTGTATATCATGTAATTCTGCTGCACCCATTTCAGTCTGGCTTGACTGGTGGCATCAAGTTCCTGAGAGAACCATGGCTTGGTGGAGTTTGATCCACAAGAAGATCTCCCAGAGCTCCATACACAAGCATCGGCCTTGAAATCTCTCAAGGAAGCAGTAAAGGGAGACTGTGACCAGTCAGTCTTGACAAGGCCGCCTCTTGTGGCCCAGTCTTCTGCATCCCATAGACTAGCGTATACCTTCATCGGCTGGTTCTTCGGATATGGAATCCCCCTTGCTTCCAAATTCTTGTACACTCTAATTGGTGTGCCATCAACATAAAAACTATAAAAACGAAAACAAAGACAAAAGGTTGGTTAATTAATTAAAAGGAATAACAAAAGGCTATGAAAAATTTCGTTAAGCATGTCAAGACTTACAGGATTGAGCGGGGATTCCATAAAATGGAATAGGTATGAAAATCAGCAGTGGGGTCGAACCAGGCGTAGAATTGTTGCTCTTTATCCCCCTTGCCTTGAGCATATACATTAGTGTGAACAATATAAGGATCGCCACTAAGATTTCCCAAGAATTCGAAGTCTATCTCATCGCGGGTTGAACCTGGTGAAGATAACTGCATGTTCAACAAAAAGTTAATAAACGAAGTTACCAAAATATGTAAATTTTGATGAAAGATGAACTTACGTAATATGTTGTGACGGTGCCAGCAGAGTTGCCAGGGACGAGTTTGAGCTGCATATCGATTCTTCCAAACAGGTACTCATTCTTGGATTGTACGCCTGATCCGGAGGCTTTGTCAAGGGAAAGGGTGAGAAGCTTCCCATTGTTGAGTGTTTTGGCACGGCCATCGCCCCAGGTGACCGCAAAATCTTGATCGAAGTTGCCAGCCAAGATAGATTGTGAAGAATTGAAGAAGGCAACAATTATCAGCAGCAAAAATAAACTAGGATTCCAAGAACAGCAAAAATCAAAAGCCATTAGTCGCAATACTAAAAGGGTTGTTAGTGTTGGATAGGATCAGGGATATGGTAGGGCAATTGACTTGTTGCTATGAAGTCTGTTTCAACTTAATTGGACAGGATGAGTCCTGGCTTAGCCTATATATAATAGACAAGGAATGGTTTTGGTGGCCGGTGTGAACTGAATAGAATTTAAGACAAGGAAAGTTCCCTCAAGTCAAGAGGTTTGGTGATATTAGCAATGGGCTTAACAGCTGGCATATGGTTAATGGCCACTATTGAAGTGCCTTGGCCCCAAGTCCCAATCCCCATGGTCTGATGTGTCTCAATTTGGAAGCCTTCCAAGTTCCAAGTGGACATTTTGAGTAGCACCAAGTAATCAAAGTCGAGTCATCATCAAGAAAACAGTGAATGAACTTCACACATCACACACGGTTTCAATGAGTCTGGATTATGTGCGTGGCACAAATTCAAGAATCAAGAGCTCCCTGCTTAGTACGCTGCTATTTTAGCCCTTCACGGGGTCGGCATCACCGCGGACTAGTGCAGGCTCTAAAATCTAAAGGGCTTGCAAAATTTTCATCTAGGAACTTCTGCTGGCCCCTAGGAACCTTTTTTTTTTTTTTTTCCATTTTTATGAAGGAATGGCCCCTAGGAACCTTAATGGAGTGAATGATTATGTGCTCCATACAAGAATTAATCTATTCACAACGTGAGTTGTCATAGCCACACGTCGCTACATGTTTGGATTTTCCTAGGAAAGTTTTTTCAACCCCCTGGAATGTTTTACTAGCACAATGGATAATTTTTTTTAATGATATGTATAATCTACACCAACCTGATCTAAGGAGAAAAAGAATTGACAGAATTTTTTTGTCAAAAAAATTCATAATTAAATGACAAAGTAAAAAATAAGGTTGAACTCTTGACCTCCCTTCCCACCTGGACATTTACCAACAACCTCTTGCTGTTGGCAGCACAATGGATAATCGATCATGTCTCAGAGGTCAACACGGAAGAAAAAGCAGTATATAAGTTGCAGCATCTGGGAGAGGCTTAACTGGATGGAAGGATAAGTGTGTTAGGTGGCACCTCGATCCATTAGGAAGAAAAATCTAAGCAACAAGAGTATAGTCTAATAGTAAAGAATTGGAAATGGAATGTTAATTATGTACCTACAGCTTGTTTAATGTTTTCTGCCATGGCTAACTAACCAATTTTGGTATCACTACATCCAATTTGACACCAAAAAAAATTTTAAAAAAAATCTCATTTCAACTTATTACAAGAAATAATGGTCACTAAGCCATATAATTATAGAGGGATTCATGCTCAAGTCAAGTACCAAAATAGATAGCATACATAATTTGGGGGGTTTATGCTTTTGCTACTATTCCTCAAGAACATTCCGAGCGTACTTGGAATCTGGAGCAGCAACTTCCATACATACTAAAAAGACCATGCAACAAGCTCAACACATATAATTCCCAAAAAAAAAAAACAAATAAATAAAAGCCCAATATTTGTCTTCAACTAATTTCTAATTGCTACTCTTCCTTCTCGTCACAGAAAGGAAAAAGAACACATATTCTACGCCTTGAAACCGGATTACAAAGCCAACATTACGTTCAATCAATTTGAGCAACCTTGTTCGCTCGCTTTGATCGTGAACGACGTCTAGGTCGCCTTGGTTTCCTAGGAACAATAATGTTGTCATTATTGTTGGCATTGGTGTTAATGTTGTTGTTGCTATTGCTTTGCCTATTAATTTTGCTCTTGCTACCGCATTCTGGACCAGGTCCCTGTGGAAATCTCCAGGGATCTTCGCAGTAATTGTACACCATATACTTCTGCTGCAGCTGTTTCATTTTCTCCCGAGCTCTTGAATCTAACTCTTCAGTCAGCCAAGAATTGCTTTTTGCTGAATCTGTTGATTCACAAGAAGATTTTCTAGTTCTTGGAGACCAAATGCAAGCTTCGGCACTGAAATTTCTGTAAGAAGCGGTAAAGGGAGCTAGGCTCCAGTCGGTCTTGACTAGTCCATGTTGCGTAGCCCATTCATCTGCGTTCCATAGACTTGAGTATATTCTCATGGGCTGGCCTTTGAGGTATGGAACCCCAATTGATTCCATGTTCTTGAATTCTCTGATAGGTTTGCCATCCACAGATAGGCTAACACCCAAAATAATAATAATAATAATAATTTACCTTCATAATGCATTTGGAAGTTGGAAGTGAGAATTGTTGAGCTAATTAAACTAGACTTACATAATGCATTTGGGATTCCAAAGAATGGAATAAGTGTGGAAATCTTCTGTTGGATCAAACCACAAGAAGAACTGCTGTTCTCTATCGCCTTTGCCTTGGCTAAAAACATTGGTGTGAAGAGTGTAAGGATTACCAGTTGAATTGCCCAAAAATTCAAAGTCAATTTCATCATGGGCTGACCCTTCTGATGACAACTGCAATATTTTATGCAGGTTGTTAGTCAACTAGTGCTATCCAATGATACAGGAAATCAAAGCTAATTAAAACACTTCCTCATTAAGCCTTACATAGTAGGTAGTGACGGTGCCAGCAGAATTTCCAGGGACAAGCTTTATTTGCATATCAATCTTTGCAAATAGATATTCCTTCTTTGATTCAAACCCTGAGCCAGACTTTCTGTCAAGGGATAAGGTAAGAAGCTCACCATGTTCCAGGATCTTTCCCCGTTCTTCACCCCATGAGAGGACAAAGTTTCGGTTGAAGGTACCATTTGTGAAGCCTGTGATCGAGCTGCCCAACAAGAATG